AACCAGTCCTTATGGCACTATTCACATGAGTCACTGACTTCGCAGTTAGGCCCCTTCACTTTGTCGAATTCAAGCACGGGGTCCCTAACGCGAATCACAGCAGGGAGGTCATCGGGGATTCGGCCAGAGAAGGCTCGCCGGCGGCGGCGAGTGGCAGGGAAGCGTCAAGGGACCCGCTCACACCCGCAGGTGCCAACGGCTTGCCCCACAGCGGCCCGAGGCTCGCTGGCCACGTGAGCAGGCGCACGGCGGCCATGGTTGTCGCGTGGCCATGCTCTACAGCGGTGAAGGAAAGCCGAGGAGGGGCGCGCGAGGACCAGGAGAGGACGGCGGAGCCGGTGACGGTGGATGCAGGGCTGCCAGGCGCTCGGAGGTGGAAGAACGACGGCGGCCAGCTCGAGCTCGCGGCGGCATCAATGGCGGCTGCGACTGGAGCGCGCGCTCGACGCCAGAGAGCGAGGAAGGGAGAGTGGGGAGGTGAGTGGGTGATAGAGCAGCCCGGGCGCTTGGTTTGAGGGGCAGGGGCGCTCGGCAGCGCGTGGCACAGCGCTTGAACGCGCGTCGGCCATGGAGGACGAGTTCTGGTGCATGGCTGCCACGATGCCATTCCGTCGAACACGTGGCGCGCGCGATGGAGCCCGACTTGGAGTCTGTTTTCGGCATATTCCGTGCACATTCGGACCTAGGTGACATTAGCAAAGTTGCTCTACTCAGGATACTCTACAAACTTGATTAAGGCTGTATGGTCGTTAGAGCTCTTCATCAGCAGGTAATTAAGCCACAAAATGACAGTGTCAGTGCCTTGATAGCGGTTAAGAAAACACAAAATTGAGGACAAAAATAGAGTCAAACTTAGCCCAACTTTTTATATGCTCTTCTCCATAAAATAACCTTCAACTTTTATTTTCGGACCAACTCAAGTTGCTTAACGAATTTCGGAGAACACGGAATGTCAACGTCGTTGTTTAGCTGGCCCGACTTAGAATAATTCTAAGTGTTGAAAACCACAGCAAATTCGATCTTGTGACCTCGATTTGACTTATTTCCAAGCTGATCTAGCTCTTAGTCCAAAAACCAAGTTTGTTCTACATGATATGGACTACAACTTTCATTTAAGGTCCAACCTCAAAACTGGTATAGAACCTCATCGTTTCTACTTTGACCAAAATAGGATCACGATGAAGCTTATATTATCCTTTTGATCCATTGGTGCATTTTCCGCCACCGCTCAACATGAACCCTTCATAACATTTGTTCATGAGTGAAAGTAGAGTTGTTTGAGCAAGGTACCAAGGTTTGGTTGACTTCATAGGTTTCCATCCACTTGATAAAGCAATTCATGCAAAGATATGACTTATCATTTCATGTGACTTTTTGATTCCAAACTTCATGAAACTTTTCCACGGGTCTAGATGGATGCATGTGGATGTAATGTATATGGAAGAAGCATGTTTAGCATTACTCTTGCATAATCTTAACAAGGGTCCATATGTAAGCAATTGTGCGTGGCCCAAGTTTCAGTTGGAGCTCCATCATGTAGATTTAATCTTGACATCTTGATTACCACTTGACATGTCATGTTTGAGCTCAAACCCATTGCTTAACTGGTGATAAACACCGGGGGTGTTACACCCGCTCTCTGCACCCTTCAAGATGGCGCGCCGCCCCGTCAGCGACCCTAGCATCAGTGCATCACCACCCCGACGAAAGTGATCCAAGCCTTGGACAAGCGCCTACTCGAGGACGACACCGGTGGTGGAGGTTGATGATGGGGGTAGGGAAGGGTCTCCACGACGAATCATCACCGTGGCGTCACACATCTCATCAGAGCGCCCGCAGAACTATTGCGACTGCACCATGAAGCCGCATCCGCGCGTGCGCCAGGTGCTATCGTCATGGACGCAGACGCCGGGGCTAATCCTCTCGGCAAAGGCACCGGCGTGGCCACGGAGGTCCTGCGGCACCACGGTAAAGGCGTTCTACGAACAGGAGCTCGAGCAGAGCACGACATCGGAACCGAGGACGACGCAGGCGCGGGGCGCCTCCCCACGGACAGGTACGGTGCGGTCATGGGAGCCGGTGTCAACGTGGGAGCTGCTGTCCGGTGAAGCCATGGAAGAAAACGACCTTGAAGCCACGCGCCCGTACCGCCCTGTGCGACTCGGTTGCCTGCTGCAGAGGAGCCGTCGGGCTCTGTAGCTGCTGCTCCCGACGAGAGCCTGCAGAGGATAGGGTTGTCGGGCCCACGTGTCAGGATGGTCAAACCATTGAAAACTAACAGAATGTGACGGGAATGGCATCGAGAGTAAAAAAGCTCCGACCAGTGACACTTATGACCGCTCAAACTTTTTAATGCCTGGTGGGTAATTGCAAACTTTTATAATGACACACAGAGTAAAATCTATCGCTGCCTGTTGCCCGTGCGCGCACCGGCCGCCCCACCTCCATCTTCCCACGGTGGTGGTGAATTTTTTTAACATTTTTTAAAACTATTTTTAAATATAACATTGTTTATTTTTTTAAAAGTAACACTTTTGGCCGTGCCTATTCACGTGGCGCGGCGAAATCACGTTGACGCGCCATGCATGGGGGAGCGGTGACGTGGTAGTGACCAGGACCGCTGAACGCTGACGTGGCCGGGGCTGCCGCGCCGCGGATCTGGGCGCGGCAGTGACGCGCCATGGCACATGGCGTGGCAAGGCGCATGACGTGATTTGACGCATGACGCTGACAGCGAGCAGACTAGTCCTGCTTATGGTTGGGCAGGTTGGGGCTACTCCTGCGTCCTGCTGTCTGCCACAGCGCCGCTCGCTAGCTAGCACAAGAGAACCATCGTGCGTACAGCTGAACGAAGACTTTCTTTTGTACATGACATGGTTGTACTTGTACTCTACTAGCCTATCTGTCCCTCCGATCAGATCAGCCAGGGCAGTTGGTGCGTTCGGTGGAGTACTAGAAAGACGGAGGGCCAGTATAGGATTTAAACATACCAATGATGCTGATGTTGTCGATATGCTATGGCAGAAATTGGTTATGCTGCCAAATAGATGTGCCTTTTCTATTGCTGGTACTTTTATGGTGGCACATGTTGTGATCACTGATCAATCATGAATCACAAAATTGTTGGCCTTTCTAGCAAAGAGGGGTACTAAAAAATTGTGTAAACTTGACAACGAGGAACATGATTATGAATTAGCTTAGCAGAACTGAGTAGTTGCTCGGGAAGATTCTCATAAATATGAAAGTAGCATAAGTCTTTCATTTAAAACATACAATAACATATCTATTTTTATTTCAATAGAGTTAAATAGCAGCAATCAACAATATTTGAGAAAACATTTATGGGTGCAAATATATAGACCAAGGTAGTTTAGAGGATGCTCACCACTGAAATAGCATCATCATGTCAATATTTTAGAATGGTTAACTGAAAAATGATTTAGCTGTCAAATTTCAATTGTGGAAAATGTCAATTAGTCTCTAGTCACTACTTGTAGTTTGATACGGCTGCATAAATTCAGTAGTTTAGCACGTAATCCACCTGGACTATTGCAGAAAAAAGAAGGTAAAATACATTTCAGCAATTTGGGAGACTGTTGGGAAATTGGGAGGGTCACTCCTCTTACTGAAACTAGATGCATTCCCCGCACGTTGTTGTGGTATTTCGAGGTGAAATTTCGGTGTGAAGGATGCAAAGTTAATAAGTTAGATTATTCTGTAGAAGTCTTCCAGAAATGTAAAGTAGAAAAAGTTTGCATTAGCTTGAAATTTTTTATTATAGCCTACAGAATCCAAAAGACATTGACAGGTAGATTTATTTTGCTTAGTGTTCTAGGGCCAATTTGACATTTAGCATAACATATCGATAAACAAAAATCAAGTATATTCTTCCGGTTCCAGGCATGCATTTAAGATGATTTTATATATTTGTTGAATATAATATTGTAAACAATAGGAATTTTGTCTCATATATTTTGACATCGTCCTTGAAGACTCCAATTCTACAATGAATCTTTGCTTCTTTATTATATAATTGAGTAGGTACTCTATTGATATTGGGTATTTGCATGACGAATATGTAATGTGAAATTTAGATATAGGTAGTCTTCAACGTACTATAGCTCATGCATCTTCTAAAAAAACTTATAAAAAAGAAAGTTACATAAGAAAAAATAAATCTAATAGAAAAAATTTGTCTCACTTCATAATCTGCATAACATGCATAAGGAAAATGGCATAATACTTCCAACTTGCTCCAATCGCGCTTGCAGATTGGGTACTACTGCGCTTGTGCTAGCTAGCGGGCGGCACTGTGGCAGACAGCAGGACGTAGGAGCAGCCCCAACCTGTCCAACCATAAGCAGGACTAGTTTGTCCAGTATGGTAAAGTCCGGGCTCCTAAGCCCCTGACCCCGACTCCGTCATACATCAAATCACGTCCTGCCACAGTGTCTCGCATGCAAAATTCTAGTACTAAAAAAAAGTCTTCGTGCACCCGTACGCACGATGATTATCTTGTGCTAGCTAGCGGGCGACACTGTGGCAGACAACAGGACGCAGGAGCAGCCCCAACCTGTCCAACCACAAGCAGGACTAGTCTGCTCGCTGTCAGCGTCATGCGTCAAATGACGTCCTGCGCCTTGCCGAGCCATGCGCCGTGGCGTGTCATTGTCGCGCCCAGATCCGCGGCGCGACAGTCCCGGCCACGTCAGCGTTCAGCGGTCCTGGTCACTGCCACGTCATTGCTCCTACCGCGCCCCATGCATGACACGGCAACGTGATTTCGCCGCGCCATGCGAATAGACGCGGCCAAAAGTGTTAGTTTTGAAGAAAAAAAATTAAACAGTATTATATTTTAAAATAGTTTAAAAAAAAGTGTTCAAAATAAAAAAAAATCGTGGTGGTATCATCCCCTTCCTCTTCCTCCTCCCAACCACCAAACCCCTCTCCCACCACCCTCCTCGCCTAGCCCGCCGCCACAGCGGCCGTCGACGAGCGCCATGCCCGCCGCGCCGTCAACCTCCGCGACCTCGTTGCTGCTGGGCGGCGCCAGGCTCCCGCGGTTCCAGCTCCAGTCCCTCCGCCCCCCCGCCAAGCCCCCCTTCCGCCGCCCGGCCTCGTCCCCGTCCACACCGCTCCCCCGATGCCGCGCCAGCGCGAGCCCCCGCCCTCTGTCCCCCGTCTCCTCCTCCGCCCTCGCGCTGCCCGTGTCGGTGACGGCCGCTCCCCCACCGCAGGTGGAGGATGATGGCTGGGTGGGAGGGGCGGCCGCAACCGTGAGGAGAGTAGCTGTGGCGGTGGCGTGCGGGGTTCTCGCAGCAGCATGGTGTCGCCGGGCGATGGCTGTGGGGGCGGCTGCGGCGGCGGGAGCGGGGACCGGGGCGCCGGGGGCAGTGGAGGCTGCTGCGGGGATTGGAGGGATGGCGCTGCGCGGGAGCTGGCCTAGAGTGCTGCAGATTCTGCAGCTGATCAGGGAGCAGGGACTGGTTCTGGCCGCGCTGCTCGGACTCTCTGCGTTCTTCTCCATGGCAGAAACTTCTATCACGACGCTTTGGCCTTGGAAGGTGCGTGCAGCAAGTCTCCGGAGACCCATTTTCTTACACTCCTGTTGTTGCCATAGTAATTGCTGTGCAGACACGAAATGAACCACGCTGCCAGTTTTGCAATCAGTTTGGTTCACTGAGCTACGAGGTAGGATATTGGGAGATTTTGTATACTTAGATGAGCAGATTGGTATTGGTGTAGTGTTGCTGCTAAGAGGGGATGCTGCAACCAATAGAGATGGGGTGAGTGTCTTATGGGTACCTTGTATCAACTACTACTAAATGGGTGATTATGCAATCCAGTTAGGATAATGAGTATTTGTATGAACAAAGCAAACGGACACCCACTAGCTTAGGCTGTTGGGTTGGGTGGTGGCATGTGTGGGTCGAGGATGTGGTGGTTGTCAAGCGCATCCTGCTTCAGCAGTGATGTGATAATTTTGTCTCGCTTGGTGGTGATGTAATGAAGGGCGAGCCTGGTGCAAGCGGTAGAGTCTTACCGCCTGTGACCAGAAGGTCCCGGGTTCGAGTCGCGGTCTCCTCGCATTGCACAGGCGAGGGTAAGGCTTGCCACTAACACCCTTCCCCAGACCCCGCACAGAGCGGGAGCTCTCTGCACTGGGTACGCCCTTTTGGTGGTGATGTAATCCACAGCACAAGTTTGTATTTGAGAAGCGATGTCACTGCTGGGAGTTGTGCTGAAAGACATGGGGAAGGCATTATTGCTCCTTCCTTTTTTTTGTAGGATAGAGGGCTGACCAGCAGGCATCACTGATTGACATGCTGACAACAGCGAGGGGCTTCAGATATAATGATCAGTGTGCACATGCGCTTTAGTGACATGCTGTGCTAGTGATCTGTAGGAGAATTAGACAGGGAATCTATGCAAGGAAAGTGTTTATTATTTTGAAACTGGAACTAATGACACTGGTATTGGATTACCAGTCTTACTGACTTTATATATAATCTCCCTTCACACCTAATCTCATCAACTGGATAGGTATTTCTGGTTCAGAATATTTATAGCTTTGAACATGATCCCAACATTGGTGCTCTTGTAACTATCATTAAAGGAGTCCTGCCTCCTTGTTCATGTTTATCAACATTTAAATTCAATTCTAATTCTTCAAAGACTACAACAAGGTGATCAATGTAAATTGATGGCTGGATTCGGTTATTCACATGCTGAACTTGCATTTTATTTTTAGTAGAGGTTTATTTGCAAGCACAGGAATAATGAAGCCCTAGTTTAGTGCATTTTTTCCTCCAGAGTTGAGCCTAAGGATTCAAGTTCACTGACACTTATCATTGTGGGTTCAAGCATTTGCACACATATTAGCATATTGAAATGGCTAAAGTATTAGAGGTTGGTGCTTCAGAGTCTTTCCATAACAGCACGCATGGGATTGAAGTTTGATTCATGGGAAAGTTTTCAATTGAATCATGCTTGATGTTCAAAAACTAGCAAGAATCATAGAAATAGCAACACTGTATTGTGTAATAGGTTGCATACCTTTTCCCCCTTTGCATTTGTTTATTTTTCTAACATTGTTTGGAAATTGCCACATCAAGGCCTAATTTTCTAGTGATCTGCCTAGTGCCCAATAGCTAGCTAGCCTCTCTATTCAGGCATTGAGGCATCACCCCCTTCTACCCACCTAGGGCATTTTTAGATCAGTGTTTTGAAACCTTGCTTCATAGTGGTACCCTTTTCTTATAGTAACTGACTGTACGCTGAGACTTTGCTGTTTTCTTTTTTCCTTTGCATTAGGTTCGTGAATTAGCTGAGAAGGAACCTGAGAATGGTGTTTTCAAAATGCTCCGAAATGACGTCACTCGTTTCCTGACAACTATTCTCATTGGCACAACGTAATCCATGACATTTCTAAGTTGTGCATCACTTATTGCAATTTTGTTTTACTAACCCTAAACCCTAATCTCGGGCATAATTTGTATGAAATAGTGTAGTCAACATTGGCGCAACAGCAATTGTTACTGAGGCGGCAACAGCAATGTTTGGTGAAGCAGGTGTTAGTGCAGCAACAGGTGTCATGACAGTATGTCTCCTGTCTCATACTGGCCTTCTGCTCTTGTGAAAGTGTTCTTGAATCTAACTATGGAGCACCATTTTTTAGGTCGCCATCTTACTTCTTACAGAAATCACTCCCAAAAGTGTTGCAGTCCATAATGCCACCGAGGTCGCTAGGTTTGTGGTAAGGTGAGAGATATCAAGTATAACTTAGTTTCAAACACGTTTATTTTGAGTACTGAACACTGTGCATTTGTTGCGATATATCAGACCGGTCGCATGGCTTTCGCTGATCCTCTATCCAGTTGGGCGGATTGTTACTTTTCTGTCTATGGGAATGCTAAAGATTCTAGGCCTGAAAGGGAGAAGGTAAGACTGTAAGAGTATGCATAATACTCTAGTTCTTGATCAACTAAAAGATAAATTGCTTCGAAAATATTCCAACTCAATAAGCTCATGTTAGTCATAGATTATATCCCCCATTAGTTATGATATACATTCAAGAAGGATACACAAACAATAAATTAATTCAAGCTACAAGAACCACACAAAACCCTTTTTTTAAGAGCATATGGCTTGCTCTGCGTAGTGGATATAACCAGGGAAGCACAAGGATTGAGTTTCTAGGTGTGCGTGGGTTCTGCTCCGGTGGGCAACTCTAGCTTCGTCTGTCTGTATCTTTTTCTTGATGGAATGGCATGCAGCTCTCTTGCGTCATTCGAGAAAGAAAATAACCAGGGAAGCACACTGATTGAGTTTCTGCCAAATAAAATATTCACCTGTTTTCTTCTTAAAAAATGGATTAAACTTGTATAGTACTAGAATTCAAGTACAAATGAGATGGTACAACATGGACTAGATTAGATTAATTTTTTGTATGTGTTGAGTCTAGTTTATTGGGTGCTAGTTATACTTTCTAAAATTTCTATAATTAGTAAAATAGTGTAGTGACTACATTTTTAATCAATAGATGACCATATGACACTATTCCAAGAATTGCATATCATCTGTTATTGTTCATGAAGGATCTAATTCTAGTTTAAATTTGCTAGAAACTTATTGATTGCTTTCTATATAATTTAGTTTACAAATTGAATTTAGTATCTGATATTGTAATCCAATACACATTTGTATGTTATTTTTTACAAAATCCAGTACGCAAGTACATTGATTTGCTATGTCTGTTAGTTTACTACATTTGTATATGTTTAACCAATATACAATTGTGATTCCTATATAGATAAGATTTAGTTTTCCTTTTTCATATTTAAATTCTTGACAAAATCTCAATACGTGACGATGGTGGGTTTACATTTCTGGAGATCCACTTCTGAATCTTGTGCATCATATACACTTCTTTCCTCAGTGAACCATATGTTACTGAAGATGAACTGAAGTTAATATTACGAGGAGCAGAGTTGAGTGGTGCAATTGCAGAAGATGAACAGGTTAGACAATCTAGTATATGGAGATGCCCATATATTGTGCTGCACATTTCCTTCTTTAGTCTTTATGTTTCTGTGTACCTCACAGCAAGATTTTGTTATCCTGTGCAATCTACGCAAGCCTTAACTTACAATTTTTATATCATATCGAAAGCTGAAAACTTCCATAAATAAAGAGTGAACTAACGAAATTTTAGGAAAATAGTAACTAACATTTTTGCATGATTTTAACTGCTAATTTAATGTTTGTACACCATCTCATCACATATATCCAGAATTTGACAAGCAGTGTGGCCCCAAAGGTTTGAGTTAGATTATACTGTTGCAGACTAGGATTTTGCCTCTTGATAGTTTATTAGCACACTTTGGCTACTGTTATCCTTTAGGTATTTTGCAGAACCTTTCCATAGCAATCCCATTGATCTTTAGGAAGTGATCCCATTTGTTGCCCCTGCAGGCAACTTTCGAATTCATTATTCTCGATCACAAGTATTCATTCTGCATAGTTTTCCCTCAGAATCATCGTAAGAATTGGGTTAAGTAACATGGAAATACATAAGTACTGATAGATTGTTGAAACTATCTAAAACTACAGATTTATCGTGTCAATTTGTCACAAATTACAGATTTTAGCTGATGAAATCAGTACTTTCAATACATAGAAATACTAAATGTGTAGTTTTAGTTTTTCAAAAACAAGGACACACTAAATCTATAATTCTGTGATAAAACTTCTTAAATCTGTAGTTTTGTGATAGCATAGCCCACACACACATACAAAAAAGAAAAGAAAAAGAACCATATAGTTATTTATGTGCCTAGATTCTAGGCCCTAGAACCTATAGCTGTGTTACACTATTATGAATTCCTAGTCCGTGCCTGCTTGTGCAGGACACTTTTCTACTTGATCAGCTAAAGTCAACACCTGAGTCTTTTAACAGGATATGATCGAGAATGTCCTGGAAATTAAAGATACACAGGTGAGGGAAGTAATGACGCCTTTGGTGGACGTAGTTGCAATTGATGCTATTGCAACACTTATTGATTTCAAAAAGTTGTGGGAAACTCATCAGTACTCTAGGTATTGTCAGCTATTATTGTCGCGTGTATTTTCAAGTCTTATCACTGACATCTGCTGCTGTTTATTATTTCCAGAGTTCCTGTATTTGAGGAGCGCATAGATAATATTGTTGGAATTGCATATGCAATGGACATGCTTGAATATGTTGAAGAGGTATGTCTCTTGTTTACCATTTAATGTAAAACTTAATCACAACAACAACAACAACATAGCCTTTCAGTCCCAAGCAAGTTGGGGTAGGCTAGAGTTGAAACCCACCAAGAGCCCCAAGTCACGGTTCAGGCACTTCAATAGCTGCTTTTCAAGTACTCCTATTCAAAATAAAACTTAATCACAGTGAGTCTTATTTGCTCTACATGATGCTTCTCTAATGGGAAAGTAAAAGGCGTATTTTTCATTTGAAGGTTGAGAAGTTGAATGAAATCACTGTTAAGAAAATCGCACATATGCCTACATACTTTGTTCCAGGTAATTTTTAGTAACATTGTTGGATACAAGTATCATGATGAACTAAAAGAAGGCATCTGTCAGTAGTCATAGGGTTGGATTTTTTTCCACAACAACTAATCATTTCTGCCACATGTTTTCTCCCATCTATACATCATGGATGTAAATATGATATGATCTGTTTCATCTGGCAGATTCAATGTCTGTTTGGAACCTATTAAGAGAGTTCCGGATCAGGCAGGTTCATATGGCAGTGGTCCTCAATGAATATGGTGGAACTATTGGTGTATGTCCCTATGAAACCCATTTTTTATACTTAATGATTCTAGTTATGCATTTCATCCAAGGCTAGTTGCTTGATTGAGACCATTTTGACTTATGGCACACAATGAGGTTCAACATTACAACAACAAAGCCTTTAAGTCCCAAACAAGTTGGGGTAGGCTAGAGTTTGAAACCCATCAGAAGCAATCAAGGTTCAGGCACGTGAATAACTGTCTTCCAAGCACTCCTATCTAAGGCTAAGTCTTTGGGTATATTCTATCCTTTCAAGTCTCCTTTTATTGCCTCTACCCAAGTCAACTTCGGTCTTCCTCTGCCTCTCTTCACGTTACTATCCTGGCTTAGGATGCCACTACGCACCGGTGCCTCTGGAGGTCTCCGTTGCACATGTCCAAACCATCTCAACCGGTGTTGGACAAGCTTTTCTTCAATTGGCGCTACCCCTAATCTATCACGTATATCATCGTTCCGAACTCGATCCCTTCTTGTATGACCGCAAATCCAACGCAACATATGCATTTCCGCGACACTTAGCTGTTGAACATGTCGTCTTTTCGTAGGCCAACATTCTGCACCATACAACATAGCAGGTCTAATCGTCGTCCTATAAAACTTGCCTTTTAGCTTCTGTGGTACCCTTTTGTCACATAGGACACCAGATGCTTGCCGCCACTTCATCCACCATGCTTTGATTCTATGGCTAACATCTTCATCAATGTCCCCGTCCCTCTGTAGCATTGATCCTAAATATCGAAAGGTATCCTTCCTAGGCACTACTTGCCCTTCCAAACTAACATCTTCCTCCTCCCGAGTAGTAGTGCCGAAGTCACATCTCATATACTCAGTTTTAGTTCTGCTGAGTCTTAACTCCAGTTTCTGATTCACTCCTGTCCGGCTTTCATCAACTAGCACTACATCGTCCGCGAAAAGCATACACCAAGGGATATCCCCTTGTATGTCCCTTGTGACCTCATCCATCATTAAAGCAAACAAATAAGGGCTCAAAGCTGACCCTTAATGTAGTTCTATCCTAATCGGGAAGTCATCCGTGTCTCCATCACTTGTTCGAACTCTAGTCACAACATTGTTGTACATGTCCTTAATGAGCCCGACGTACTTCGTTGGGACTTTATGTTTGTCCAAAGCCCACCACATAACATTCCTTGGTATTTTATCATAAGCCTTCTCCAAGTCAATAAAAACCATGTGTATGTCCTTTTTCTTCTCCCTATACCGCTCCATAACTTGTCTTATTAAGAAAATGGCTTCCATGGTTGACCTTCCGGGCATGAAACCAAATTGGTTCACAGAGACCCGCGTTATTGCTCTCAAGCGATGCTCGATAACTCTCTCCCATAGCTTTATAGTATGGCTCATCAACTTAATTCCCCGATAATTAGTACAACTTTGAATATCCCCTTTATTCTTGTAGATCGGTACCAATATACTTCTCCACTCATCAGGCATCTTGTTCGATCGAAAAATATGGTTGAACAGCTTGGTTAGCCATACTATAGCTATGTCCCCGAGGCATCTCCACACCTCGATTGGGATACCATCTGGTCCCATCGCCTTACCTCCTTTCATCCTTTTCAACGCCTCTCTGACCTCAGATTCTTGGATTCTCCGCACAAAGCGCCTATTGGTGTCATCAAAAGAGTCATCCAACTGAAAGGTTGTGTCCATATTCTCACCATTGAACAATTTATCAAAATACTCTTGTCATCGATGCCGGATCTCATCCTCCTTCACCAAGAGATGCTCCCTTTCATCCTTAATGCACTTAACTTGGTTGAAGTCCCGTGTCTTTCTCTCACGAACCCTAGCCATCCTATAAATGTCTTTCTCTTCTTCCTTCAGACTCAAATGTTAGTAAAGATCCTCGTCGCTCTACCCTTTGCCACACTTACACGTTTCGCTGCGCCTTTTTTTGCCACATTATACTTCTCTATGTTGTCCACACTCCTATCATGGTACAAGCGCCTATAGCATTCTTTCTTCTCCTTAATAGCCCTTTGGACTTCCTCGCTCCACCACCAAGTATCTTTAGCCTCGCCTCCACTTTCTTTGGTTACTCCACACACCTCTGAGGCCACCTTCCTAATGTTGGTTGCCATCTTCTCCCACATGTTGTTTATGTCGCCTTCTTCCTTCCAAGAGCCCTCTTTGATAACCTTTTCCCTAAATACCTCCGACGTCTCCCCTTCGGGCTTCCACCACTTTGTTCTTTGAATCTTAGCTTGTTTATCCCTCACGGCACGCACTGAAAACGCAAAATCGCCACCAAAAGCTTATGTTGAGAAACAACACACTCTCCCAGTATCACCTTGCAATCTAAGCATGCTCGTTTGTCCTTTCTTCTTGCGAAGACAAAGTCAATCTGCTCTGAGTGTTGTCCGCTCTTGAAGGTCACTAGATGAGATTCTCTCTTTCTAAAGAAAGTGTTGGCTATCATCGTGTCAAAAGCTACCGCCAAGTCTAGAACTTCCTCCCTCCCGATTCCTACTACCATACCCAAAACCTCCATGAACGCCTCGAAACTCAAGCTTGTTGTACCTACATGCCCATTAAGATCTCCTCCTATAAAAAGCTTCTCACTACTAGGTATAGCTCTAACCAGGCCATCTAAGTCTTCCCAGTAATCTGCCTCTTAGCACTCTCGTCGAGGCCTACTTGGGAGGCATACGCACTAATTACGTTCAAGACCATATCACCAACGACAAGCTTGACTAAGATAATCCTATCTCCTTGCCTTCTCACTCCCACCACACCATTCTTGAGGCTCTTATCAATCAAAACTCCTACTCCATTTCTATTCGCATTCCCTCGTGTACCAAAGCTTGAAACCTGTATTGTCCACCTCCTTCGCCTTCTGACCCTTCCATTTAGTCTCTTGAACGCATAATATATTTACACGCTTCCTAGTCGCGGTATCAACTAATTCTCTTAACTTACCTGTAAGTGACCCTACATTCCAACTACCTAAACGGATCCTAGTTGGTTCGACTAGCTTCCTTACCCTTCGCACCCGTCGACTCAGATGCGAAGACCCTTGCTCATTTTTCACTACACCCGGGCGCCGATGTAGCGCGCCACTAAGGAAGCGACGACCCGATCTTTGCTCACTTGACACCATGCCCAGATCACGACACGGCGCGTCACGGGGGTGACGACCCGGCCCTTGCCCATTTAACACCATACCTGGGTTCCGATATGGCGCGTCGCTAAGAGGGTTACGCCCCAACGATTTTCTTTCGGGTTTCATCTCCATTAAAGTGGCTAAGTTTTTACATTGGCTCGCCACGCCTAACACAACCCTCCTCCATTAATGAGGTTCAACATTGTTTACTCCAATCAATTTTTAGCTGTAACTTCCAAGCATGCTAGTTAGTTTGGCTAATCATTGATGAATGCTAGTCAGTACATGGTGACATTTTGATGGCCATTTATTGGCATCACTACTGGCTTTTATTCCACAATGGTCATGTTTTTACCACAAGCATGTGATGTGATGCTTCAAGTGATCTTGCTGCGCAGCTTACGTAACTGCAGCAATGGGGCACTTTTCATCTGTTGCAGTACCAGTCCCTGTTGTTCATGGTTTGTTTCCTTTTAAGATATACCCCATACATAGAGATTAGTTATGCTCCATGCAGCAGAGATTATTACTTTCCACAAGTTTAGAGATTGTTTCTTAGGAAGTAGTTATGCTCACAGTTTGTTCAACAGTTTCTGTTTTCAGAAGTAGTTGATGAGCAATGAATTGATTATGTTTGCTGCCGAAAGGATAATTCTTTAAGCTGTTTTTCTCATTACTGATGCTCATTGGTAAAAGTTACAAATGATTGGACAAAGCTACTACCCATGAGCTTCCTTTGTCTTACACATACTCCTGGCAAGTACAGTCTTCGAGCAATTACCCTTTCATGTAGCGATATCTATCCATTTCTTGCAGCAACTAAGTCCTGTTGTGTTCAGAAAATGTTTATCAGAACAGTTTGTAATTTCATGTGTTTATCACTGCATGGGACATTGGGAATTACTCTCTGACTTTTGGCAAAAAAAAAAAAATGCAGATTGTAACACTAGAAGATGTAGTGGAAGAAATAGTTGGTGAAATCTTTGACGAGAATGATTCCAAGGTGATTATTTCTGGAATTTTTTATTTCATCGCAAGTGGGTGTTCAGTGCCATACATATGCATACTGTTCCCTTTCTTTTGGCTTATTATTCCATTTTTGCCTTGTAACTATCGTTCTTTTTACAGAACTGACTTTTCATATCTTGGTAATAAATAATGATATGCTAGCATTTGAACTTAGGAAATTTAGTGGGCCAAACATACTGAGCCATGCCAAAAAAGACAGGCAAATCATACGGTCATATTTTGCTGTTGGACATCTTTTAGGTGTCGTCTCTGCCACTTTTTATACGCGCAGGAGCAAGGGTAAAAGAAATAGGCCCCCTTTGGAACAAAGGAAAAATGGAGGAATTCTAGAGATCCTATAGAAAAATTTCCTGTGAACCTTTTTGGAACAAAGGGTTGGGTTCTTACAAATGCTATAAAATTCATGGAATGGCTTGTTTCGTAGGAATTTTGGAGGAATTTTACCAGGAGGTTGAACCTCATGGAAAGTTTCCTTTGTGTCACTCTCTCCCCGATTTCCTGTGTTTTTCCTGCGCTCCATCCCAACATTCAGGACCCCTTTGGAACGCTGGATTTTTTTCCTGTTCCTGCTTTTTTCCTGTGAAAAATGAACCGATTCCTGTGAAATTCTTATATAATTCCTTAGGGCAGTTTGTCCTACGTTTGTCTTATTCCTGCGTTTCTAGAAGAATTTTGCATTCCAATGAGGCCCTAAACCAGTTTCCTGTGGTATATAACAAGCCTATGGTAAGTCATGTAGCAATTACCAATATATTTAGGTCAACTTTGCCACTGCAAAACCAGGGTGAAAACACTAATATAGTTATTTACACTAAAAATACAGATTATCGCATTCTTAGTATGCTGGATCCTTGTAGGAATGTATTCTTAAATTATATTTGTATTTTTTAAACAAATATCAATGCCAACAATCTTGTTTCAGGGTGTCTCAAATCAGAACAAAAACTGAAAAGAAACATTCAGTGAGGACTGTTTTATTTGTGAACTTCCAAAGAGTTTTGTGTTTGTTTATCAACTTGTGTGCTCTTGGTATTTATGTGATCGCATTTTCTTGGGAATTTGGAATTATTGTGGGCATGGCCATAACACAAGCAGGGTTCATAAACCAGAAGTGGAGAAGCCTAGAACCAGATCAGCTGGGAACTATCCAGTGTCCTGAATCTATAGTTAGACATATAGTATGGTGGAAATTAACAGGACTCTTGAAGATTATCTGGCTAACTCAAACTGAAGTTCCATTAGCTTGGTTTTGAAAACTGGAGAGATTAGATCTCCTGCCTCAGTGCTTCTCCAAGTTCTGGAAGCAGCTGCTTCACTCCTATTTTCTGTATCCTAGTCAAAACAAAGGATTTTTCCATGTAACAAGATAGTTGCTATTTGTCATTTGCTTAGGCAGCCTCTCAATTCCTTCTGCTACTCTGTTTTTCACCCTTTCAGGAGGAAATCCAGAAGAAAACAGGCTATATAGTAAGGCGGGGGAGATGGAACATTTGATGTTGATGCAAATACATCGATAGATCACCTATCTGAAGAGCTTGGTATCAAAATACCAGAGGTATTGTTTCTCATTTGATCTTAGCTTTCTCTACAGTTGCTATGCATTCCCTTGGACATGTGTATATGTTGGAGTGGACACCGTATGATGATCATCGAAATGTGAGCTCCATCATTTAGAGATGCCTGGTTTGCAGAATCTATACAGATATGACGTTATTATATCTATTTTTTGGTGGAAACTGGACATTTAATATTTAGGTCAACAAAATATTCACAAATGTTCTGTTTGTGAGATATGCCCTTGGCAGTCATCATTATATGGTGCTGTGTATTTCTGTCATGTTTCTCGTAGATTGGCTGATATCTTGAGACACTTGGACAATATCTTTTGGCAGGGGCATCAGTATGAGACGGTGTCTGGTTTTGTCTGTGCATCTTTTGGCTATATTCCAGAAGAAGGTGGGAAAATGCTTGTGATTCTTGAAAAGGATTACAGAGAAGAAAACGGTGAATATCAGGAGGAAGGTTCTGATCGCCAAGATGATAGAGAAAAACTCAAGCTTACGAACTTGAGGTAATTGCTACAACTCCTTGTGTATTCTGTTTGCTCAAGAGTTCTAGTACCAGGTCAATTATTATTATACGATTATCTTGTCATCACTAGAAATCTCCCTCTAAGAACTTACTAGTATAGATAACTATTATGAATTTTACTTGTCATTACTTGAAAGCTGAAAGACACCACTAAAAGCTTCAATTTTCTTTGTTGATGCAATACCATGAAACCTTTTTTTGTTAAATAACTCTCATTAGAATCAATTTTCCATACAGGGCATTTGGTTCTTAGATCATTTTATAGGATATTTTGTACTATATAAATTTCGAGATGCTTTTGGCCTTATCATACTATAAGAAGTAAGAACCAACTGATAAAAACAATTATCCACGACCACCTCTACATGCTTGTTTGTGCATATAAAAAGACAACAATACTCAGAAGGTTGCTATAACATGTCCACACTCCACTTATGTGGTGCTAATACTACTATCCATTTGTACTTGCTTTTTTTATTTGAAGCTAGAAAAAGAAAGTATACAAAAACTAATAGATAAGAAAAGCTACTACTCAATTGTCAATTCAGAACTCGTATTGTGGGTTATAAGGTTATTTCAGTGAAATTGTGTTGGTATTGGTACACAACCTTTATTAGTTGGTGCAACTCCCATTTTCCCGAAGTCTTCGTTACACTTTATTGAATTGCTGCAGCCCTAGAAATCCATAGTTTCTGTTTCACAATTCACCCAAAATTTCATTCTTTGTTGCCGAATTAAATAATCTTCTGTAGTTGTTTTTACTACCTTTACCTGGCCTCTCTTGCTCACAGATAGTGGAAGCTAATGCAAGGAAGGTGGGCAAAGTCCTATTTAAGCCAATAAGCAGTGAATGTGTTGGTGTTGACAACAAGGGTGTGAACCGCCTGATCTCCAAGAAGATCGTCAAACGGAAGAAGGGCTCTGATGATTCCTCTGGTGATGAGTATCCAGATATAACAGAGAATGGCTGCCCTGCAGAGGTACTCTCGTACTCGGATGATAACAGTGCTTTGTTGGAAGATGCAAGCAGTTCTAGTGCCAAGAGGTGACAATAAAGGAAAGACCATCGTACTACTGGTAATAATTACAGCACACCGTCAACCCTCCTAATACCCCTTGTTACAACAGAAGAGAAGAACATAGTAGTAGGCTACCAAAAAAACTGCGAGAGCAACACCAAGAGGTTAACAGCAGTTTAAGGCATTGCAACATTTTTCAGTAGCAGGAGTAGCAGTAGCAGTCTAGAGGTGCAGCGAGGTGTCGACGTCGACTTCACCAGAGACATGTTTGTAGTTGTAGGTCTTACTGGGCCACAGCTCCACCGAGATGGGGTTGCTATCGCCGTGGAGCTGGAAGCTTTTGCATTCACAGACAGTGGTTGGCACGGCCGGGAATAAGGAGGCGGCGGCGACAGCGGCAGTGGTGTCACGCAGCGGCCTGCACGGGTAGAGCAGCTCCGGGTGGAAGAACCACTTCACGGGCATCTCCCTCGGGGAGGTGGTGGCCGCAGGGCGGGGGGCGAGCACGTGGAGAAGCCTCTCCTCCCGCTTCTCCCTGATCCTCTCCAGCTCCCTGAACCTCTGCTGCAGCAGGGCGATGGAGGAGAACATCACCTGGCCTTCGCTGCTCTGCACCCCCATGATTACTGAGGAGACGGGAGCTCACTCAGCTCAGGAACAAACTCCTCCGAGTCTCAGTTACGTGTTCGTGTGTCTCTCAGTGTCTGTCTACTTCGCTCGGTGTGTGGGGTTTAGCAGCTTGAAGGGTGGTCTTGGGCGTGTGCGTATTTATAAGCCGCAAAGTTTTGTCACGGCGCAGGGCGTCGTCTTGTGGTCGTCTTGCAAGCTGCGCCAATTCTTCCATCTTCCATTATGTGATGCTATGCCTGTAGTATGTTTATGGGCTGATTGAAAAACAAAGAACACTAGTATACTCCACCGCTGGTATGAGAGAGAATCTGGGAGGAGGTAGGGAATGTCACGTCGCCCGAGTAAGGAAGTGGGAGGCGTGCAGGTGAGAGAATAAGGGGCGTGGGAGAGTCCAAGGAAATGGGGCTGTGGACGCTTGCGCTTGTTCCGTTCCTGTGGGTGGGAATCGCCGTGTGCCGTTGCGCGGGGTGGCCAAGATTGCGCCTCTGTTTGTCTGTCACCTTTTTCCTGCGCCCCTCCTCTCTTTTCCTTAGTGCGTTGCTGCAGCGGCAGGGCAGGATAGAGGGCTGCATGCCATGCCCTGCTGCTCGTAGCTCGCTACTACTCCCTCTCTCCATCCAAACGGGCAGCTGGATGCTGCGAGCTTTTCGGAAATTTTTTATTTGTAATCCTTTTTAAATAAATATTTTAATACTAATCTAAAAGAAAGTATTTGCAAAAATGATCTTTTTTATCACGCCAGCGTGGCTGGCGCAACAATATCATGCTATCGCGTCACATGCGCTGACGCCAGCGACAAGCCCAGCCATGGTGGCACCCGGCGTTGACCGTGGCGGTGCGTGGGCCCTGGCCTGTCACGCCAGCGACTCGCGCCAGGCGGGACAGGCCCATATAAAGGCCTCTGCCCACCACCATTTTCCTCCCTCTTGTCTATCTCCCTTCACTTTGTGGCCACTCTGGGTGAGCTCGAGGTCATCATTGTGTCATATGTTGTCTCTCTTCTCCTCCTCCCATCCTCTATTTGCCTTTGATCAAGTTTGCATTTGCTTTTCAGATTTGAACGGTCTTGTGCATGAGGTATGACTCCCTCACTTCTGTTTTTTTTTTATGTTTAGTTGATGTTTATATACTGCTCTGGTTTAGACTGTTGTTTGCAATACCGTCTTTCGTTTGGTTGAATGAAAGTTGCTTTGGCTAATCACGTCTAATATATTATGGTTCATGTTGTACTTGTTGAACTTTTATGATTTTTTTGATTGGTTTTGGTTCGCAGTGCATTAGGGTTTTGGTTCGCAGTGCATTAGGGTTTAGACAGCAGTATGGGTTACACTGTTCGAAGTGTTTTTTTTGTGTGGTGATTAGATGTATAGATGAGTTAGACTATGTATGTATAGACATCATTTATATTCAATAAGTTTGTTTTAGGGTTTGGCTTCATGGGTTTACATGATTATTGGTTCATATCTTTGCTTTCTTGAACTACTTTGTAATAGGTTCAATGGCAGTTCGAAATGACAACAAATTCATGCACCATCCGAAGGACCATGGTGCTATCGATCCTTTCCTACCAGCAGAGCCAACACCGTTGTGTTACTGTGGGTTATCGGCATTTGTGAAGCAGTCAAGGCATCCCGCGTCAGCTGGACGTGCTTTCTACTGTTGCCAACTTAAGCGACGTCCCCCGACACTTTATGCCTACCTAGAGGGATTCAGTTTTCTATCAGTGGATCGATGGGAATGAAATGTTCGATCCGTTGATTATGTTGTTTTCTTATGACTCCGGGAAGAGTGTTCCATATTCAGAATTTGTTTGTTGGGTTCCGTCGTCACCGAACCCTCCGAAAATGACAGAGGCAGAGAAGGTTGACGCTGCTTTGCGCCATCTAGCCAATCCTCCTAGATGCCATTGTGGAGTGTTGGCGCGACTAACTACTCCCAGCCAACGCGGCGTGGCCTCAGATGGCTGGGGCGGCCGGGGCAGCGGGGTGGCGGCGGCGCCCAGGCGCGCGGAGTGAAGGAGAGGGAGAGCGAGAGAGAAAGAAAAATGGGCCCGAGTCGCTGGCGCGATAGGGCGGGCCCCACGGAATGCCACGCTAGCTCTGGTCAACGATGCGTGTCACCGTGGTGCCCCTTGTCGCGCCAGTGCATGTAGCGCAACAAAGTGGTGCATTCGCGCCACTCGCGCTGGCGCAACTAAAAGGAATAGATTTGCAAATACTTTTTTCTTGGATTACTATAAAAATATTGTTTAAAAAAAAGATTTAAAATAGGCGTCGTTAGACTATCTCCAACAGGTGACTCATATAGGCACCCAAACGGTCTCCAACAAAATATCTATACAGGAGACCAGGAGACCTATTTTGGTTGGCAGGAGAGGCACAACTTAAATTTGAGTATCCTCTCTCCTGGAGACCTATTTGCTGAAAGGGTCCTCTTTTGGATCTTGTTGTTGAAGAAGACCAAAAATATATATTGAAATATTTATCTGTAGCGCTACCTAAATATGAAGTGGGTCTTCGTTTTGGGTTCCCATTGTTGGAGATAGTCTTAGAGCTGTATATGTGGACTGTGGACTATGGTGCATGTAGGGTTCATAGCAACTGTGTGGAACTGTGCACTCCATGAGCCATTGTCTTTGGTTTGCCCGTGTGAACGTGTTGGAGAGTCTGGGAGCAGAAAGTCCGCGTTGAACGTTACGGAGTGCTTCTTTGGGTCTTTGACTGGTGCGTCTATCGATCTGTAGCCTGTTCGTTTCATCTAAAACGATCGTGAATTGTTACTACTCTGATTTAGTATGAGAGAAAAATATTATTCTAACTTATAATCTACGATCGTTTACTACCGAGCGACAGGCGGCTGAATGGGAGCACTGATTGCACGCTGTGTAGTACGGTGCATTCAAGTAACTCTGAGCCGGCGTGCTGCTTTGAAGTTTGAACTTTTGGTTAATTCAGGAAAGTTGATTGATCTGATGTTCTTTGACGGCCAGGCAAACACAGCCAATGCACCGTCATCAAAGACCTCTGTCATCGGATGCTTCGGACAGTAGTTGAGATATTCGTAACAAATGCTTCACTACCCGAAGAGAAAAACAGTCTTCGTTGGTTGCTGCATTTTGGGAAAATAAGAAAGGGCCTGTTTGAATCAGAGTCGGGTTATTATAATTGGATTATCGATTCTAATAATTAGAGTGCTGGATTTCTGGTGGCATTTTCTTGGGTTTATTTTAGGATTTAACGATGGAAATTTGCTCATAAGCGCTTTTCTATCTAGCCTGCTAACTGTCATGACGCTACATGATATTTAAGTTACGGCCATTTTCTCAAATGGTCGAGGATTATATTCGTCTTTGATACTTGTTTCTTCAAGTGGCCTAGGATTTTGTAGTCTAATGTGAACAATCTTGAGGGTGAAAACAAATTATCAACAAAGAATAGATTGCCCAAAAATGCCTAACAAAAAGGAAAATTGTGGGTTACATAGTAAATATGTCTCATGAATTACTTGAATTAGATGCGTTTGGTTATTTGAGAAAAAAAAACCGTGCAACATTAAAAAAACTATTTGTCATTCAAAAAATCACTCCGAAAAACTAGTTGGCTAAGAAAATATATAGAGTGCTCCAAGGCTCCTAAGACTTTTTAAATATTATGTAAATGGGTATAAAAGAAGTCAATAAATCATTCTGCTGATATTGACTTTGCTATCATGAATCATCCAAAAAAAATGTCTTTTAGAATAATATTTCTACCATGTGAAACAAGAAGAAAAAGACAAATCCGAACGTTTGTTTGTGGTTGTTGATTCTCTGGACCTGTTGTAAATGTCATCGTTGAGTTGAGATTTTTTTGGAGTTCCTTTTTTTCGACGAATGAGTTAATCTGAACGTTTGTTTGTGGTTGTTGATTTCCTGGAGCTGTTGTAAAAGTCATTGCTGAGTTGAGATTTTTTGGAGTTCCTTTTTGGTGACGAATGAGTAATAATTTTATAGATGTTTGATGGTATTAGCATACTCTGCTTCTTAAATAGTAAAAGGAATTTTCCGTTACTACTATTTAGTTGTGGATTATATTGAGGCCTGAAGAAGTATGTTTTGAAACTCGGAATTTCATGGAGGATTTGTAGGAAACTAGGAATCCCATAATAAACATATGCCAATCCTCCCATATTTTCTTGATTATTTTCTAGCTAGCTAGTTTCATTTATCTTTTGTGTAGTAAAGAATATCCTTGCTCCAAACATGTAGTGGTGAGTTGAGTTTACTAATTTATGTGTAGTTAACCTAGAACTCGAAGCTTGGTAACTGAGCCTTATCTAATCTGGCCCTAAATTAACTTACCATCCAAACTGATCAGTTGGAGTCTTGTGTTGTGACGATCTCTAGTTTGTTGTGGAACGGG